CGATATAATTAGTTTATATTTTAACTTCTTTTTTTTTTAATTAAGGACCCTTTAATTTATATCACCTTAAAAAGTGCTCTTTTTATTACATAATTATTTGGGATAAGGAACCCTATACCTAAAGTTAATTGTTTTGAGAGATTTTAAAATTTAAATGGCAAATAAGATCATTCAGAAAATGATTTAATTTTAACTGACTACTGCTTAATACAAAATACACAATTTATTATCTCTTGGATAACTTCCTGGGCGGATAGTCCTCCGATTAAGCCCATAACCACAAAAAAGAAGACCTCTTGGATAAGTTTCTGACAACATCTAAGGAGAGTTTAACATTCAGAAAAAATAAATTCAATTATCAACCTAATGACTACTTTATCTGTATCTGTAACGTGTGGAGAGTGAGTTACCCCCACGGCACTTAGGCCTCACTAGGCCCATTGTTCATCCTCCTAAGATGATAGACACCTCCTAGCTCGTGAGCCAGCCTACAGATTTAATGTAGTTGACAACGTCGCCAAGAGGTGCTTCTCTTATATTGACCGGTGTTAGTCGATACTCGCCGAACATAAATTTCCTAATAAATGAGAGCGTCGGGCAATCGTAGAGGATATGCTCGATATCTTTTTGTTCGTACTCTCTGCAGAGTGCGGATTCTGACAGCCCCATAATATGGAGATGCTTCCGTACTTGGCAATGCCCAGTCAGAATGACTGTGACTAGGCACAGATTCTGTCTAGTCATAGTCAAGTATTTTTTTGCTGCAATGTTGTTAGGATAACTTAAAAGCTCCCTGGCCACTCTGCAGTTTCTTGTTTTATCCCATCTTTCCTTAAATTTCACAAGGGAATATTCTTTAATTTGGTCTGTCACTACCGATGCGTCGTGACCTTTGATCCATCTTAAGGTGACCACGTTGTTGATGGATACTTCGGCCAAAGCTTCGTGACATTCTAGTACTAACCATGAGTTAATTCGTGGTCTGTGCTTATCTGCTAGCTGCATAGATGAGCATGTTCCTTCCAGTGATATTGTTTCCGGTGATTTCTTTTGCTGCTATGAGAATCCCGTCAGCTCTTTTTGAACTACACTGGTATTGCTATTGCTCACTGCCCATTTTATGTTTAGGTTTAAGGATCTGGAGTATATTCCACATCCTGAGCCTTGTTTTGTTTTAGAACCGTCGGTGTAGATATTAATCGTACTTGCCACTTCCGGCTCTTCTGTTTGTTCTGTTACAACTTTATATGGCTTATGGAAGATATATCTCGGTGAGATGGAGTCCATGTTCGCTTGAAGCAGTGGGAGCGTATCGAGCGCCTCCTGCCAAAAGCCACGTCTCGCCTTACCAGATCTTACATCAGGTTCTATTCCAACCGTGCGGAGGCGTGTCATTGTCGTAAGAACAACCTCCTTGATGTAAATATCAAGCGGAGTGAGACTAAGAATGACTTCCATGGCTCTGGACGGTGTTGTTTTCATGGCTCCTGTTATGTTGAGACATGATGTTCTTTGAATTTGTTCTAGTTTACGGATAGCTGACAACTTTTTTGTTTTCGGTACCGACAACTGCACCGTAAGTTAGCATAGGTCTTATGATAGCCGGGGGAGAAACCACAGGTGCACCCCACGGTTCGGCGTCATTGTTCATAAGAAATGTATGCTCTTTTGACTCTTGTTTTATAAATGCACGTTCCATGTTAACTTGCTGTCAAAGGTATAGACAGTAAATGGTCATTGCACCACTGTTCTATAATTTTGAGATCTACTTGTATTCTTTCGCAGAGTATGTTCTCAAAATTCCCTGTTTGCAAAATGACGTCATTTGCATATGTCATTTTATAGTAACTGTCATTACTGAGGCGGCTGATGAGGATGTCGAGGACCATGTTCCACAGTAGTGTTGATAGCACCCCTCCCTGTGGACATCCCCTCTAAACCAAGCCTCTTATATTCACATCTTCTATACTTATGTTTATTGCTCGTTTTGAGAGCATGTTATGTATCCACCCACTAACTATCTGTGGAACATTCCTGTTAGTGAGTGTATTATCTTGGGGAAGGTGGTTGTATTAAAAGCACCTATGTCTATGAAAACACCCAAAGCGGACTTCTTATTGTCCAGTGATCTCTATCCGGCCAGCAACTAGATGAAGGGCCGAATCAGTAGATCTGCCTGGGGTGTATGCATGTTGGTTTGGGTGTAGTGGTGTTGTAATCACCGCATCTCTTATGTACCTTTCGCATAGCCTTTCCAATATCTTAATGGAAAACGATGTAAGACTAATTGGCCTCTGTTTTTGGGATAGTGTAATCCATTCTTCCAGGTTTGAGTATGAATACCACTTTTACCTTTTATTCTAAGTGTTATTTTTATTTAATTGGAAAAGTTGTTCAAAGTGGCCCTCCATAATACGAGTATTTATACAACCTGAAGCCGCATACACACCAGGCGAATGAAAGCGAACGTACAGGACCGTACGGATTCGTTCGGCTAATGTGTAACAAGAAAGGCACTAGTTTGGTTGGAGTTTTTATTATTATTTATAAGTTATAATCACCGTTTTATAATTATAATTCAGAGAATTGATCTATTATAATTATAGAGTAATACACATGTTCTGCAACTAATCGATCTTTATAAAGAACATGAATATTCTTGTAACCCAAAACATAATAGGCACAAAAATGAAATAGCAAAAAAGAATGGAGTGTACCACCGTAACGTGCTTTACTTTTAGTTAACAATGTCCACTACCGTTGTTTCCTTCGTTTTAACCTAAATCCTTCTTCATTGAATATGATATATAAAGAAATAACAATTGCAATTATATCTAGATTGTCGAATGATTATTACTATAAAATAATCATAATTACGAAATGAAATACGACATTATTGACACGGCATTGATTATGGAAAACTGGTGTGATAAAATGAAACAACGAGCGAATTCCTAAATAAAAATTCACCGGTGTGGACAGTAAGAACAAACGCACGCGCATACATACGGGTCTTTTTGTTTGCTTTTGTTCGCGTAGTGAGTACGCGGCTTCAGACGGTTTTAAAAGGTCAGACTAACATTTCCGAACATATTCTGAGTATCATTTGATATTTTTCTCTTATTCACGACTAAAATTCAAGTTGAAGAAAGCGATTCTTTTTTAGAAACAAATATTGCAACACTAATGACAATAGTAATAACGAAGTGTCAGTATTGGGCTGTTTCAATGCCATTATAGGAATACAATAAAGTATTATAATAGTTTGTAGCGATTTTACTAGATTTTTAATTGTGTTCTACTGATATTAATTAGTTGACTACGTGAGTGAGCTCAAGATTGATATTACAACGTGGATTCTAAGAATTAACCAGTGCAAGTTAAGCTCAGAATAATTTGACCTGTTCGCGGGACGAGAATCCACTTTTTTTTCCACTCTTTCATGCATCCCTCTGCTCCCCCCTGAGAGGTTCCGGCAGATCCCCCAATCAGGCTTGGGTTCACAGTTTAAACTAAGATTACATTTTAACTGCCTATTGTGTAACCCGCCCTTAAAAGAATTCGCTGGAGCTTACTTATATGGAGATGTTCGTGCTCCTGAAAATATTTTTGAGCCAATCGGAGATAATTTTGGAGCCAATCGGAGATATTGGAGCCAATTGGAGGTATTATAGGAGCTACTCGGAGCCAATTGGAGATATCCTAGGAGGTACTCGGAGCCTATTGGAGCTATTTGTTGATATGTCTTCTAACTAACCAAATATAGCACAAGCACAGATAATAATCAATTATATTTCAGATATAAAGTATATACGTTTAAAGTGTATTAGGCGGGCCTAGCTTTTTGAAACAAATTAGGAGATATAGCTTGGTTGAAGGCGAGGTTGAAGGTGTATTAGGCATTGGTAAATCAGCGAAAAAAGACTCGCAAGCGCAATGATCATTGTGACGTCATTCTCGGTCACAACTGGGCATCAGAAATGGAGTAGCAAGGGGACTAAATAATTAATTTCGCGTAGCAAGTTCATGGTTGCTTGCTATTGGTATTTCTATTTTACTGAATGTAAAAGTCCAGTTGGTATTTGTCAAAAACTTATTCGGTCCCTAATAAATTACAGCTAGTTAAATTATAATTACTAATTACCAAAAACAGTGTATTTTATATTAACCAGTGTATTTTATATTAACCAGTGATCAGTTAAAATGAAAATTATGTTCTGAAATATATTTTTTGTAATTTAAATCCAAAAATCTAAGACTCAAATGAAAGTACAATTAGGGTACTTTTGAAGTGTGATATAAAATATCACCTGTACAGATTTTTTACGAAAAGTAATGTCCCGGCAGAAAGTTTAACTAACACCTTAAAAATGGTCTGCAGTTGTTTCTTCTGCCTTATATAGGTCATTGAAATCAACACGATTTTAATATAAGATTGGTTATATCGTGTGAAATGCCATTAATATGGGAAAACTGAGATTACTTCCATAAAAAAATAATAAAGAAACTAAACTTTGACTGTTTAAAAAACATGACTTTGTGCCAACTGGAAGTTATTGAAAATAATTTTAAAATTTGAAATTTAAGGATGCTCTGTTTGTTTTTTTATATGCTGGATGCTATTGAATTTTTTCACGCTAATTGATCACCATGTAGGTATATATACTATAGTCTAAAGTTATGAAAGACATCCTGTAGAATCGAAATCATATTAGTTCATGAGATAGTGGCTTTATGATTAATTTTAAAAAAAATATATTTATAAACAATAATTTTTTATTTCGTTATGGTTAACAATAATTCATATTCCAAAAGTCGATTTGTTATAATTTAATTTTGTTTTTTATTTTAATCAATATAGTACGGAAAATTGCACTATTTTACACAGTGCCTGGGAGGCGTAGACGCATTATCACTATATCATTTTGTTTTATACAGAGTATTTCGATTTCTTCTTCGTTACGCAACAGCAAAAACGTCGCGGATTTTATTAAGCGGGACTAGTTCGTTTTCCTTATTGGATGGTTTCGCGCATGTGTGGTGTGAGTTTGGATTTTCCTGTAGTGGCTTCGCCGTCGATGTACTCCGGAGGGTCGTCCGGCGATGCTTCCGTGGACACCAGGATGCCCAATTCCCTGAGACTTCGGTGGTAGACTATACTGGCACCGAAAGCGTCACCCATTACGTTGATGGCTGTCCGGAAGCGATCCCTGAAAGTAATTTTTAATTAGTGAAAAAATAAAAATTTAATAGAGTAATTTATTTACTTTCACTAATTCATTTACAAGGAAAGAAAACTCGAAAGTTATTTACCACAAATTTTTAATATTATATATAAAAATGGGTATGGGTAACTAGTTTTGGCCTCTATGGGCTATCATCAGGCCTACAAAAAGTTGGTTATAAAATATAAAAGTTACGAAGAGAAATAAACAAAACTTCTTCACCTAATTCGAGTTACCTCTGTTTCCACTCCACCTTCCTTTACAATTTTCCTTCTTTTTACTTCCTCATTGTTCTATTTACACTTATCGTTCAATATTCCCTTATTTTGGATTATTTTTTATTTTCTTTCTAAATAATTTTTAAAGATAAAAATAAATATACTTACAATAACCAGTCAACAGCCAAAATCAAACTGACATCTTCGGCTGGCAGTCCTAAAGTATCCAACACCATGACCATAGTTACTAGTCCAGCTTGTGGAATACCCGCAGCACCTATACTTGCAGCTGTCGCCGTTACACTTATAGCTACTAGACTACCGAAATCCAAGGGAACGTTTCTGACTTGTGCTATGAAGATGGCCGCTACTGCTTCGTACAGAGCCGTACCGTCCATATTGATGGTCGATCCTATGGGTAAGCAAAATCTCGCTACTCTGGGATCTACGCCGTTCTTTTCTTCTAAGCAACGGATGGTTAGAGGCAGTGTGGCGGAACTATTAAATACATTAAATTTAGTTAGTTATTTTAACGATTTATTTTGTATATATTTTTTTGCACCTAAAATCTATCACCCATGTGCGGTGAACTTCTATCAAATATACCATTGAAAAAATGTTGAAATGAAGTAGAAATAAATGGAAAGCAACATGTTCGCGAAGTGGAAAAGGTAATAGAGATCCAAATCAGTAAAATATGGTTAAAAGTAAAAGCGTTGACCCATAAGAACAATTATATTTATTAATAATAGAGTAACATTTGCGTCTCAGAAAACTGCAAACGTAGATTAGATTTAATTAGGATTATGGGTAATGTGGCCTCCCCCTCCTCGATATTTTCAGATCTATTGTGGATATCCTTTAACTGCAAACGTAAGGCTTCTGGATACCAAATTTTCCGGTTATAAGCAGGTAGGGGTAAATTTAGTCTAGAACATTGTGCCCACTTGGGACTATTATATTTTCCTGCTTTACCCGTATTCAGGTACTATCTGAGAATAATTGGTTAGTTTTACTACTACCAAGTGTTCCTGGGGCACTCTTTCCGGTTTAAGACCGAAAGGGGTGTGTCAAGGCCCAACAATATCTACATCTACATGTGGTGGGATCATTGTGTAATCCCATCACAAGAAAGTGCTTTAATGCTTTAATTTTTAGTATAGGGATTGCGAACTGTAGTATCTCAGCCTGAGCTTACTGATTCTGTGTCCTCTTTTATATCTTGCCAAGTAAGTTTAGTGTTTAATGGTTATCCACCTGTTCACTGCTTGTTGAGCAGAGGTTTTGTTTATCCAAAATACACGTAAGGGTCCTGTGAATTGTTCTAATCGCTCTTTAGCGAATTATTTAGCCTTTTCATTTCCTTGGATACCTTTATGTCCTCGTATACACGCTAGTTTTGCCTTATTGTGGGTTGCCAGATCATTAATTATTCCAAGGCAGTTCCAGACTAGCTTTCACATGATTCTATTTGAACCAAAGGCCTTTAAAACTACTTAGCTGTCTGCAAGAATTAAGATGGTTTGTTTTTTGTACTTCCTCCTTAAATTTTCTCTTAAACATAATTCGATTGCATGTATTTCAGTCAGACGGTGATATCTCATTGGGAAAACATACTACTACACTAAGAGATCAAATTAGTAAAAACGTTTAAAAAGTAAGAACAGTGTCACAAGAGAAACTGTTACATTAGTTAAACATAACAAATTTTCCCCACAGACTTACAATAGTATACACATATTTATTTTTAATATGGTAGATGACAAATAACCATTTTACGATTGATTATTTTAATTTAAAAACAAATATTAGAAAAAGTAATGATAAAAACAATAGGTTATAACACATGTTTAACTACCCATTGACATAAAACTAATAACGTTTAGTGTGGCTGTTAAAATTATGATTGATATTTTGGTCACGAAATTGTATTATTCTACGACTGCTTTAAAAAAAATGCATTTTTCTCTCAGCTTACTTGAGTTAAAAGTAATTTATTTCTTATATTGAGAAATCATTTTTCACGGCTCTTCTCCTAGATAAACTTCAGAATAACTAAATAATAAATATGATAACATAGTTAGCTCTGAATTTTATGTGGTTACACATTGTCAAATTTAGGAATTTAACATCTGCGTCATTTTGTATGGTATTTACGTTTATTTAGGCAAGTTTACCCTCATTAAATAATAAGCAGTCGTAGAAAAAGTAAAATATGCAACATGTATGAAAAAACCCCTTTCTTCGTTACTTAAGGTATTAAAGGTGTCGTTTTTCTTACTTGTTGCACTATATATCATTATGATGTTTTACCTCGAAGCACATCCAAACGCTGTTATAATTGCTTGGGACATATTGTTTATAAACGTTATAGGATTTTTCCTGGCTAATAGGAGATACAATAACGGCAAAATGACGAATCCTTGTACTGTCAATCCTACGCATACCGTGGCGAAATACCACCCCAACTGCCCTACTACAGTGAAAATATCGTCCATTTCCATGATCTTGGATGACACCAAGAAGAGTACACCGACAGGCGAAAGGAAGATTACCCACGAAGTGATCTTCATGCTAACCGCCATTAAATTGTGGAAAAAGTTGGCCAAAACCTCTGCCTCTTTGCCCAGTTGGGCGATGGCTATGCCTAGGGCGGCTGCTATGACCACCAGACCCAATATGTTGGTGCTTTGAATGGTTACGGGCTCACCTATTTTGAATAGGTATGGATCTGAAATAATTAAATAAATATTTGAATTATGAAGTAGCGAGTGTTGGATGATAAGTGATTAAGATTTTCAAGCTCTTTTAAATGGTGTATAACATGATCTACGTTGTCATTTTAATTAAGGGTGGCGTCCCTGCTCATGTATGTATGCATGCAAAAAAATAACACCACTCATAATGAATTTATGTCCAAACATTTTCAGATTTCTACGTCGAACTGCTTAAGAGACAGATGTTTGATTCCAGCGTTTACAGCAATCCATTATTAATTGAAATAATATCATTAATATCATTAATATCATTAATACCATTTATACCATTAATATCATTAATATCATTAATATCATTAATATCATTAATATCATTAATATCATTAATATCATTAATATCATTAATATCATTAATATCATTAATATCATTAATATCATTAATATCATTAATATCATTAATATCATTAATATCATTAATATCATTAATATCATTAATATCATTAATATCATTAATATCATTAATATCATTAATATCATTAATATCATTAATATCATTAATATCATTAATATCATTAATATCATTAATATCATTAATATCATTAATATCATTAATATCATTAATATCATTAATATCATTAATATCATTAATATCATTAATATCATTAATATCATTAATATCATTAATATCATTAATATCATTAATATCATTAATATCATTAATATCATTAATATCATTAATATCATTAATATCATTAATATCATTAATATCATTAATATCATTAATATCATTAATATCATTAATATCATTAATATCATTAATATCATTAATATCATTAATATCATTAATATCATTAATATCATTAATATCATTAATATCATTAATATCATTAATATCATTAATATCATTAATATCATTAATATCATTAATATCATTAATATCATTAATATCATTAATATCATTAATATCATTAATATCATTAATATCATTAATATCATTAATATCATTAATATCATTAATATCATTAATATCATTAATATCATTAATATCATTAATATCATTAATATCATTAATATCATTAATATCATTAATATCATTAATATCATTAATATCATTAATATCATTAATATCATTAATATCATTAATATCATTAATATCATTAATATCATTAATATCATTAATATCATTAATATCATTAATATCATTAATATCATTAATATCATTAATATCATTAATATCATTAATATCATTAATATCATTAATATCATTAATATCATTAATATCATTAATATCATTAATATCATTAATATCATTAATATCATTAATATCATTAATATCATTAATATCATTAATATCATTAATATCATTAATATCATTAATATCATTAATATCATTAATATCATTAATATCATTAATATCATTAATATCATTAATATCATTAATATCATTAATATCATTAATATCATTAATATCATTAATATCATTAATATCATTAATATCATTAATATCATTAATATCATTAATATCATTAATATCATTAATATCATTAATATCATTAATATCATTAATATCATTAATATCATTAATATCATTAATATCATTAATATCATTAATATCATTAATATCATTAATATCATTAATATCATTAATATCATTAATATCATTAATATCATTAATATCATTAATATCATTAATATCATTAATATCATTAATATCATTAATATCATTAATATCATTAATATCATTAATATCATTAATAATATCATTAATATCATTAATATCATTAATATCATTAATATCATTAATATCATTAATATCATTAATATCATTAATATCATTAATATCATTAATATCATTAATATCATTAATATCATTAATATCATTAATATCATTAATATCATTAATATCATTAATATCATTAATATCATTAATATCATTAATATCATTAATATCATTAATATCATTAATATCATTAATATCATTAATATCATTAATATCATTAATATCATTAATATCATTAATATCATTAATATCATTAATATCATTAATATCATTAATATCATTAATATCATTAATATCATTAATATCATTAATATCATTAATATCATTAATATCATTAATATCATTAATATCATTAATATCATTAATATCATTAATATCATTAATATCATTAATATCATTAATATCATTAATATCATTAATATCATTAATATCATTAATATCATTAATATCATTAATATCATTAATATCATTAATATCATTAATATCATTAATATCATTAATATCATTAATATCATTAATATCATTAATATCATTAATATCATTAATATCATTAATATCATTAATATCATTAATATCATTAATATCATTAATATCATTAATATCATTAATATCATTAATATCATTAATATCATTAATATCATTAATATCATTAATATCATTAATATCAATAATATCATTAATATCATTAATATCATTAATATCATTAATATCATTAATATCATTAATATCATTAATATCATTAATATCATTAATATCATTAATATCATAATTATCTTTAATATCATTAATATCAATAATATCATTAATATCATTAATATCATTAATATCATTAATATCATTAATATCATTAATATCAATAATATCATTAATATCATTAATATCATTAATATCATTAATATCATTAATATCATTAATATCATTAATATCATTAATATCATTAATATCATTAATATCATTAATATCATTAATATCATTAATATCATTAATATCATTAATATCATTAATATCATTAATATCATTAATATCATTAATATCATTAATATCATTAATATCATTAATATCATTAATATCATTAATATCATTAATATCATTAATATCATTAATATCATTAATATCATTAATATCATTAATATCATTAATATCATTAATATCATTAATATCATTAATATCATTAATATCATTAATATCATTAATATCATTAATATCATTAATATCATTAATATCATTAATATCATTAATATCATTAATATCATTAATATCATTAATATCATTAATACCATTAATATCATTAATATCATTAATATCATTAATATCATTAATATCATTAATATCATTAATATCATTAATATCATTAATATCGTTAATATCGTTAATATCATTAATATCATTAATATCATTAATATCATTAATATCATTAATATCATTAATATCATTAATACCATTAATATCATTAATATCATTAATATCATTAATATCAATAATATCATTAATATCATTAATATCGTTAATATCTTTAATATCGTTAATATTAATATCATTATCATTATAATTCACTCACATACGAGTTATATTAATGTTAATATTATAAATATTAAATAACTATGCGATATATCGCCACTATAGTGGCTATTACTCGAAAATCTTTCGAAAACGGGCTTGTAGAAACAGGTACGGATATATTAATTATTTAAAAGTTTAGATTAGCTACGATATACAGTGTGATTGCAATAGCGGAAATCGAAAATATTTCTAGAACAATTAATGCAATAAAACCCAAATATGCCGGTCTTAAATTTCGTGGCAGCACTTGTCAAGTTTACTATTTATCATAAAAATCGCAATAACTTTATTATTTGAAATAGAACACCTTGTATATGTAAGCATTTATTTATTCTCCTTGTAAAACTAATTTTAACAGTCTTGATCATTACTGTTCTAGACATGTGAAGTGATAAAAAATATTTGGAAAATTTGGCTACGGTATATTGACATTTGGTGTATTCATTTAATTATTGATTGTTTTATTTTAATACTGTTTACTTACCTGTTTCTCGGTCATTGGGAGGAGTAAGATTTGTTCGTGTCTGAAAATCAAATATTTAAAATAAAAATCAGGTGGATAAAAATTAATTTCTTAACATTGTTTTTAAACATAAATTATTAAGAGCCATTGTATGTCTAAAATTAATTGGTTTCAAGTTGACAACAAATGTATCTGCATAAAAACAATTTCCAAAATTATTAATTTTATTATTAACTAGTGGAGCCGGTAGGCGATGTCCTGGCAGAGGCCTCGCTAGCAAAATATATTTCTTGAAATGCCGCATATTGATTGTAACGCCTATTATTTAATAAGTTATGAATATAAAAAAATATTTAATTAAAAAATAATGATAAGCTGCAAATTATGTGAGAAATCCAAAAAAATATATAACTAGTTTGTTGGAAAATGAAAAAAGTTTTGGATCTCGACAACAGTGCCACCTACCGGGCCCAACTGTATGTAAGAACCATCCAGGTTACTCCATAAATGCAAAAAAAAATCAGCAAAATCGGTCAAACCTTTTAGGAATTACTAAAATACGCACACTGGGATTTTTTATACATATAGAAAAAATTTGTATTTACTTTTGAAAATGTCGAGTTTTTGTTTCTCTTTTAAAAAGACAAATATGGTTTCAGTAATATTTTCATTATAAAATTTAAATATTAATTATACTATCATAAGCTTTTCTAAGTTTGGCAGAAATAAATTATTATTATTTTAATTATATTAGTAAAACTTACACACAATATCTATAGATCGTAGATTTTAAATTGGTTAAATTAAAATTTAGTACCGATGACAATCTATTACAGTCTTGAAGTTCAGGAGATGTACAAATTAATAATTTTTCAGAACCCATAAACCTAAATTTATTATGATATTTAATAGTCATAAAATTTTTTATACTCATTACACTTTTTTCAAGGTGAAAATTACAAAACAACCTCAAATGTTTATTCCCGACATAATTTCTAGACAATTTTTCTCACTGACTGAAAATGTCCCTTTATTTATGTAAACATGATAATAATAATAATAACAACCTAAGTAATTAATATATGTTTTTAGTTGGCGTTTTATTATAAATAATCTTTTAACAACATAAATTACCTGGAAAATGGTTGCTTCAATCATATTTGGCGGAAACATGTTTCTGAAAATAATAGAAATAATATTGAAATTATTAGTATAATTATGTAATGAGCATTTAGTGATAGCGAGTATGATAATTAATACGAGTATCTTAATAGCCATTAAATATGAGTTGCATGTACTATTTTCTCTTCGACCAATAATTATAATAATAAAAAAAGTGTATTTAATTGAAAATCGTGTAAGAATATGCCAATGCTACTGTCGATCATTATTTTTATTACTTGGCAGAATGCTCCAAACTGACAGAGATGAGTGATTTAGAAATATTTACCGTATTGCGAAAAACCGTAATAGCATCATACAAATGATTTGTATCAAAACAACCTGTACGAAAGGTTATCATATGCCATTATATTAAATGAACTCAAATGTCGTATTTCTCATTTTTTTTGTGCAAGGAAAATATTTTATTACTGTCTAAATTTATACAGAAAATTTTTATTTCAAAACGTTCATTTTCGCGTCTAAGAGTTCCTACTGTGCGATAGTTTAATTTATTTATAGTTTATTTATTTAAAACACACTATTTACAATTTATTTATGACGTACTAATTTATTTATTACAATTTAACTTTTCTATCCAACACTTTATTCTCAACTTACTCGTCGCGCTATTTATACCAAGTCCAACTCTGCTACGAGAAGTCTTCAGACGACGATGGAATGTCCCAGAATTACATCTCTATGACTCAACGTCACGTACCGCTTGTTCTGGTATATTCGAGACGCGCTCCGACTGTCTCCACGCGTCAGCGGTGCTTCGATCATAAATCGGTGCTTACTAGACAGGGTCGGCTCCGCGTTACAAAACATTTCGCTTATCTTTAGTAATTGCAAAATATAAAAATATTCTTCTAAATCAGAATGCGTTTTAATAATTTATGTATATAATAGGCATATAAAAAATGAGTTAGGAAAATAAATTTTGCTATATACCGGGTGTCCCAAAAGTTTCTGACCAGCTAACTAAAAAAAAAAATAAAAAAAATGGAAAAATAAAGCTGGTGGAAAAAATAGTCTTGGAAGATCATATTAAATATATTTGCCTTTCCACGTTAAAAAAAATCATGGCAGAAAATCGAAACGTTTTAACTCGGAGAATGGCTAAAATAAAATTTATCTATCTATTGCAGACAAAAACGTAATGGTGTGACTTTATATAAAAAGATGAAAGTTAATATGGCTTATAAATTGTTAAAATAGGTTTTAATAATAAACTATTTCATCAAATCCTAAAAAATTATATTACACGCCACCTAACAATAATTTCCTTTCCCTGTTTGTACCCGAAGCTCTACACATTCATTATGGATATTGAGTGATGACGTTAGTTTGCAAACTTTCAAGACTGAGGTATAGTAAACGAGGAGTGTTGAAACTTATTTTATTTGAGTTCGCCCTCTAAAAGAGTTTTAAAATGTATTAAATAGAGATGGCCAATCACTAAAATTTGTTCACATTACTTTTTATTTAAATGTAGCATGCTGCGAAAGCGTGATCGTAGAAAAATTATAATATTTCACTCGGTCGGTAATGTTTGCGAGTTACTCGTAAAATATATACTTAACTGTTGCAACAAGGTTTTTTAAAATTTGTGGGTCCTATAACCTTTGATATCTGATCATTGGCCATTGAGTTATTTAACAACATTCTTGCAACCGGGTATAAATACTAAGTATACGCCGCATTAGTTATAGCGTCTTCGAATCTACTTCACGGCTTGCACTGAGTGCATACGAAAGGTGGGAGATATGTCAATACCAGTTAGTTTTCAATCTGAAATGTAACCAGTATCGATATATCGCTCATCTTTTATGTGCACTCCACGCAGGCAGGGTAGTGGAATCGAAGACGCTATTAGTGAACCAAACCAAAACAAAAAATTCCGTTATTGATTTTGACAAACATTTTAAGTTTTTTTAATCCATAATTTATTGTTTGATGGCTGTAAAAATGTAGTTTAAAGGCATGTAATTAAATTATTTTTATTATAGTTAAGGCCTTTATATCAAAACCATCTTAAAGATAATAGAAATAAAACTTAAATTGACACCTAACGCCTTTTTTATTTTTTGTTTTACATATTATTACTAAATGAATAAATAACTAAAAAAAAAGGTTATCTATTCCCTTTATGAATATATTTTAAAACCCAAAATTAATTAAATTAAATAATGATACCTCTTTTCTTTCGCAAAATCAATTGCCATTCTTTTGTTCCAATACATAAGTATGTAATGAATAAACTCTAATTTGTTAATTTGTCACTTTACTTTTCTAATATAGTTAAGTTTTGTAATACCTTTTAAATCTAATAATTGTATTTATATAATAATTATAAAGAGTGCAGATTATTAACTGCCTTACTAATGATATTGTAGAAGAAACTTCCTAAGATTATCATTAAATTATATACCAATCGTTTGCTAACTTACAACAATTTATTATTGGCTTTATAGCCGAAACCTGAAACCGGTCGCCATTTAGAGTTTTATTTTTTTCATTGAAGATGATGACATTTGAGAGGTTGGAATCCTTTAAATGATATTTTTTCCGCATCAGCATGATTTTTGTAGTAATAAATATATCTATCTGAATTAGGGCGTGGTTCAAAGCCCACTTGTACTGTAGCTCTAGGCTTATTGTACCCCTTACAGTTTCTATCCCATCAGATTGATTTTCTTGATGAATTCAAGAATATGTCTGATGGGCACTTTCGCAATTTCTTCTGGTCCGGATATTGTACCATTCCCGTTCCTATTTAAAGTTCCGACAGAGGCATAATATGTGATTAGGAGTTTCGTTCTCCTCTTCACATATTCTACATAGGGAGTCATCAAATATCCCTAAGATATTTAGGTGTCTTCTAAGTCCTTCTAAGTCCTATTATGGCCTTGAGTTCGCTTCTGCTAAGGTTTAGCAGTTGATTTTGTCTGCTCGTGGATGGCCCCTCTATGAATCTTTTGGACTGGAAGTCCAGGAAATTCCAACCAGAGCCTATGGTGTTCTTTATTTATTTGTTCCTTTAACACCCATTTAACATGTTGGTATGAGGTACCAATAAGAATTTTTTCCGCTCCCTTCCTTGCTAGGAGGTTTGCTTTCTCGTTTCCAAAAACTCCCTCATGTCCTGGCACCCATTCAAGTGTGACCTTGTTATGTTCTGACAGGGCCTGGCGGGACTGTTGGCAATCAAGTATTGATTTGGATTGTACTTCTACCCTTTTTAGTGCTTTAAGGGCTGCCTGACTGTCATGATAAAGACTCTCTTATCTCTAAAAAAGTCATTTAGCATGACTTTGGCGCAAACCTTTATTGCTGTTACTTCAGCCTGGAAGACTGTTGTCAGTGACCCCAGGTTCAGACTAATTGTCCTCTCTGAGTTCACATGTAGATCCCAGCTCCTGTGTCTGTATACCAGATTGATTCGTTTTGTTTTCCCTATTTTCCCGGCTTTTTGGCCCTTTCTGGTATTTGAATATCGAAAGGTTTCCTGAAGTCGTGAATAATGGGCGTTCTATCCGATGGCATTCTTAGTACCGGATTTTGTTTTAATTTCTCTAATCTCTAATATCATTGTGTGGTGTCCTTTTCTCGAAAGTTCCCATCCAAATCCATTAGTAAACAGCCTGTATGCCGCCGCCATAGCCTCGTTCTCCACCACAAGATGTAGTGGAGGAAGACCTAGCAGTAGCTCCATTGCTGCTGTGGGCGTAGTTCTAAATGCCCCTGTTATTATTAAACAGGCTAGTTTTTGTACCTTTTCTGTTAGCTGTTATGCTTTTAGTCTTGTGCCACCATATTACTGATGAGTAAGCTATAACAGGTACTACAGCCATAGTGTAAAGCCAGTGCATCATACTTGGTTTAAGCCCCCATATGTTCCCTACCATCCGTCTACAGGCCCATAGTATTCTTACAGCTTTTTCTGTTCTTTTTTTAAACTGGCTGCAGAAGCTAAGCTTGTTATCAAGAGTGATCCCAAGATATTTAACCTCTTTTGCCATTTTCAGATATTGTCCCCACATATAAAGCTCCTTCATTCCTTGAAGGTTCCTTTCTCTTGTGAACGCAACAACATAGGTTTTTGTCGGGTTTGTGGACAATCCCTCTTTTAGGCACCATCTTTCGACGATATTTAGTACCCGCTGCATTCTTTCGGATACAACAGACCCAAATTTACCGTTTACTACGATGCTTATGTCGTCTGCAAATGCTTGCGTGTATAAGTTTTCTCTCTCTATCTCCCATAAGAGGTCATCAACCACCAAGGTCCACATAAGAGTAGATAACACTTCTCCCTACGGGCATCCCTTGTTAACTGAGACCTCTCTTGTTGTGTTAAGGAGATTACTGGTAATGGTTCTATGATTAAGCATGAACTCAACCCACTTCGTAATGCAGTGGTCTATTCCACTCCTGTGCATAGATCCCAGTATTGAATTGTATGAAGCCGAATCAAAGGCTCCTTCTATATCTAGGAAGACTCCTAGTGCTATTTCTTTGCTTTCCAATACTTGTCCAGCCTGTTGAGCTAGCCTATGTATGGCTGCATCGCAAGACTTTCCAGATTGGTAGGCAAACTATTATCGATGTATCGGTCTATCCCATAGAATATCGTCCCGTATATATCTATCGATCAATTTCTCCAATGTTTTTAGGAGAAATGATGTTAGGCTGATTGGTCTGAAAGATTTGGTCTCCTCGTAAGACGCTTTCGTGGGTTTGGGAATGAAGACCACTCTTGCACGCCTCCAGCTTTGTGAAACATATCCAAGGGCTATGCTAGCTCGGAATAGTACTTTCCGGCCCTTTTGTAGAAGTGCCGGGATTATACCATCAGGTCCAGCTGTTTTGTATGGTTGAAAGGAATTTATCGCCCACACAAGTTTTGTTCTGTTTACTATTAATTTTGCAAGAGACCAATTTATTTTTGAGGCCCTAGAAATTAGTGCCTCGGTACTCCTGTTCTCTTGGTCAAGAATAATCTCACATCCA